CTGCATTATCTGTGTCACCGAGTCTGCTGATCATCCCTATTTAGAAATACTTGCTTGGCACTATAATCCAGGGTGACATCATGGTAGTAACATATGACTGCCACCAAAGACAGCACGCAGGCTGGATCAATTACGACTGGCCTAGTTTAGCTCAAGAAGGATAATTAAAGCAAACACCCACTGAGATTCGCGTTACTATGAAATCAGTATATAATTTTAATGCTGTGTTCATAACAGTTTAATAGTTAATTCACACTTGTGCCGATAAGCTAAATGAGCACTGCGTAGTTTTAATTCCTTTACACTAGTGTGCGTGTTTATGCACACAAACCACTTTAAGGCATGAGATGTATTTTCATTTAGCAATATTGGGTGATGTTGGAACACCTGTCCACATCTGACTATAGGTGAAAAATAGCTGATAAATCTCCGTGGTTTTCATTTTCTATCCTCTAGACTGGTTTATCATTTATATTACATCCAATTATGCAAAAGTTGAAATGGATACTTAGTAGCTCACAGTATTAAGAAGCACCGATGCAAGGTTGGGTGTTGGTGTTGTACAGCTAATATTACGCTCAGTCTCAGTGTTGCTTTTTAGTAAGTGTAAGCATACATCAACGGGACAATCCTCGTTAAAGGAGAGGGAAGCAGGGAAGGTCAACCAACACACTGAGCCCCACGCTTCCACAAAAGGAGAAAATGCCACAATGCTGAAACAAACTTTCCCTTTCTGTCACCTGGTATCATATATCCCGCTCCCCTCACTGCTGAACACCCTTACAAATGCACAAATGCTTCACAGTCTGATTCAGAGTGCAAACACTCAACTCCCCCCTTCAAAAAAAAGGATCACAAGGGTTTCATAAGGTAAGAAAAAAGCCAAAATACAGAGCTCTTTTCACAGGCAGCATCTTAAACCAATCCTAATAAAAAACAAACACATGAAACGTTGCTTGTGTGCATTTAGAACAAATCTGTTCCTGGTGTTTCACAGACCATTTATGCAGAACAACAGAAGTTATTCAGAAGTTAACTACAAGTTGACATGAGAAGTCAACATGCTCCTTCCTTTAACCTTATCACTGCAGATTGTCCTCTGACCCAAAAAACTACGCAGCCTGTTGAAAATACCTGCGAGCTGATCACCTACGCATAAAGCAAGGTGATTCTGCACAGGGGTCAAAAACCAACTCTGTCCCAAAGTGCAGGCAGTTGATTAAACTTTGTGTTTTTTTGGTGTGGTTCTTCTAAGAACTAAAATTCTGGAATAAAGTGTTCATACATGTAAAGCCTTTATTATTATCATTTTTATTTATTCCAAAATGGTTGGGTCAAGCAAAGGGTGCCTACAGATATCAAACATGTCATACTGGCTGCTACAGTCATTGGTTTATGTTTATTGACTCTATTAAATTTAAATATCTGCAATTTTACACAGTCATCGAAAGAAAATTATTTAAACCCAAAAAGGAAACCGACAAATTAAAGTCAAATCCTTTACAAACAAGTCAGTTATATATTACAGCTTCTTTGAATATGTTTTGTTTGAGCTTTCATTTCAATATCGAAGAAGAAACTAGAGGGGAAAGGGATAGAAAGTTGCTGCTCCTCACCATACATCTTCCCCTCATCTGACAGTATGATCTTCCTCCTTCCACAAGGAGGGTAGATGGCCAAAGCTTCCTGAAAGCTCTGCTCAATGTCTGGGCTCCACACCCCTTCAGGATCCCCGTCCAATCCGCGGTCCGCCCCGTCTCCCAGTCCCTCTCCATTGGGACTGGCACCCTCCTCCTGCGCCCCATCAGGGCTGCCACGGCAACTCCACTCCGACGCAATGATGACGGCTCCAGCTACAACACACCTACAACACACGAAACAAGATAAATGTGGAACAGATCCGCTAAACTGGATCTGTCATGTTAGTGTTACAGTGTTATGCTTTTTGGGGGGCGTGGTGGCTGTAAGAAGGTTTCTCCATTTTGTCTGTCTGCCCTCCTCACAAATGAAGAGGCCAGAGAGCAATAGAGAGAAGTGCACACTTTCACTTTTATACTATTCACACAATTACACTCAGCTTGAATTTAAAATTTAAGCCAATAGGCAGAAATACAGGCAACTGAGGAAAAGCCCTTATCCAGGACTAACAAAAATATACAAATACTTGTTACAAAACTTACCCTGAACCCTGGTTTTAACATGTTTCCTTCCATGTTGAAGCCAAAACATGATTAGGAAACAGATTTGTTGTTGTCACAGCTACACTGCACTGCAAGCAGCAAGATTTTGAGAAACGGATGCAGCTGTTTTCTGTCCTATACAAAAAAACTGTAAACTGTGTACAGCTAATTCATTTTTGCAGTTAAGGACATTTTAAGCGTCACGTCGGTTCTTATAGAGTGCTTTTTCTTCTGTACCTGAGCACCTGAAGTGCTTCATGCAAGTTGCCTCATTCACCCATTCAAGCCTAGAGTGAGCTAAGAAAACACCCTCCAGACAGTTACACCACGAATTGTTACGAGGCAGGGTGGACCCGTGCTTTCATGTTGTTTACGTGAGTCTGTGTGAACTTTAGCCTTGCTTTCCTGTTCTTAGCTAATAGAAACACTCAAAGTGGTATTGTAGGCCCACTTCTTTAAGGTTCAATGTGCTGCATGTTCAGAGATGATGTTCTGCAAACCTTGGCTGTAACAAGTGGTTATTTGAGTTCCTGTTACCTTCTTATCAGCTCAAAGCAGTCTGACCATTCTCATCTGGCCTCTGACATCAACAAGGCATTTTCCCTTTATCTGATAATAATCTGCAGTTTCTGAAATCCTCAGACAAGCCTGTCTGTTCACAGTCACTTTAATCATCTTTCATCCCCATTTTGATACTTGCTTTGAACATTTCTACTTGCCTAAATGCATTACTGCCATGCGCTTGCCTGATTAGATAGCTCCGTTACTGAGCAGTTGAACAAACCTAAGTGTAGTCGCCATGCATGTACATTATTTTGTAATGCCAAACGTGGACAACATAAACAGTTAAAAGCACAGAACATCTTTAGACTGTAGTATGCAGCCTAGAGAAGGGGAACGAGGTTTCCACAACAAGTAAAACATGACGTTTTGACACTTTTCCCATATTAAAATGTAGTACAGGTTTAAGAGCTTATTTCCTTACTCTTAATCCCTTCATGTGAACAGAAAACCCCCCAAAACTTAAGTTAGATCAGCAGTGTATAAAGCATTTTGCTAAAAAAAGAATTTGTTTCATTGTTTTTAAACTTGTTATTTTTAACACGGGGAATCTGAGGCACACTGACAGCTCAAGAAAATTAAACCACACACCTTGTTTTGTTAATCCACATCACTGACATCATGATGGATGGACGAGACTGAGATCAACTTTGCGGCTGTTGAGAATAGCGACAGATTTCTCAGACTACAAGTGTCTACACACCAAGAGCGAGATCAGATTCACTTTGAGCTGTTTACAGCGTCCATGGGTACGGTGTGTATTAATAGTTCTGGCACCCGTGGTCAAAGACCTAACAAGTGACAAGCTAAAATATTAAGGGTTTATAAATGTTTAAAGACACTATCCAGGGTCAAGAAGGACACTACCAGGATGTGTCACTATTAAGATGAGATCACAAGATGTAATACATTAAATATTTAACTGACTGCGCTTAGTGAAGATGAGACCAGCTATTCCTTTTTCTTAGCTGTTCATTACACAGAAACTAGCCTAAAAGGCAACACAAACTTTAGAAGACTCCAACCTTGGCTGTGTAGGCCACGTAAGGAAATTACACATTCTTTTGTTATTGTTGAAGATGCTCCAAGTCTCTTCAAACACAGACACACATATGCGACATGAATGTTGCCTGGTGTGTAATGTTTTCCAGAGTGTGGTTAATATGGTCCCCGCCACAGAGGAACCACAGAGGATCAGTGTGGTCGCTGAGCTTCCCCTGCTGTGGTGGGTTTATTCTGCACACTGTGTGCAGGGCCTTCCCGGTTTCAATCACTAGTGACTGGACTGAGCTGTTGCCATAGAGATCAGAAAGGCCTAGCGGGGTGGTCAGGCAAGCACAAAGTCTAAAAGAACATTTTGATATTCGAGGGAGGTGGGATGCGATTGTCCTGAAAGCTCTACTGTGGGACGTCTGCAACTGGGAAGGTGTTTCTTTGTCCTGACTGGAACAAACTCATCATGATGTCATATTGCTTTTCATGTTCACAGACAAAAAGATTATAATGACCACAACAAGAGTAGCTTTGCATGAGTCATGATTTGAAAAACAATTGTTATTTATCTTAAAATGAGCCTTAGTGTAGCCCCTCAGTGCATCCCCTCGTCATGTCTAAAGCAGGCCCTTCTACCTCCACCTTCTCCTCCTTTAGGTCACCCTCCATTTAAGCCAACTTTCTTCTGATTGGCCTTTCCATCCAAACAGAAGGTGGGAGGGGCTTCCATGCTCTAAGCTAGTTGTGCCCTTGAGATGACCACATTAGAGATATCCCCTCTCCCTGACAGAAATCAAACAGAATTTTGTGTGTGTGTGTGTGTGTGTGTGTGTGTGTGTGTGTGTGTGTGTGTGTGTGTGTGTGTGTGTGTAACCAAGCATATAGAACAGTCTAAAGCCCGAGCTTCTGGTTGATTAGGATTAATAAGACAGAAGGAAGGAAGTTTCCTATATTCTTCAGTGGGATTTAGGTTACATACATTTCAGGTCAGCTAACTGTATAGTAAGTAGAGCCTGACCAATATAAGATATCAGCACGAGCAGGACAGGAACATGACATCAGCATGATATCAACATGACATATGGTGTCATCATGGTTTGTCCATGTGAATGACTTGACTCTAGTATTGAAAATACTGTCAGCATATGTGGCATACTAGACAGCTAAGCAAATGGTGTTGCCTAGTAAAGTGTCTATACCACTAAACTGCTAAAACTAAATAAATAAATTAAATCGAACTACTTTAATACATAACTACTAAGATACATTTCTGGAATGTCAAAAAATATTACTCATCATTTTCACGTTTTTCATTAGTGGAAGATACTGTAGGCAGATGTGAGGCTCCCAGGCAACACATTTAAATATACATTTTAAAAAACAGACACTCTGTATATACAAAGTCATAAGCAGCACACACATGTAATAATCTGAAACGGAGATTTTTCACACACAAAGTCTAAATGTGTTAACATGAAGTATGACCTTAGTGTAATGACAAAAATTATGTTTATGACAATTTACTCTAACGTTAACTTAGTTTATGCATTTGATTAAGGGGGGAGCGTCAATCATCTAATACCTTTTTCTTTAGCATGGTGGGGAGCTCACAGACGGTTTAACAAATCCCAAGCGGAAACTTGGCTTAAATAATCAAACCTAGTGCTGATGTAACACATACACCACAATCACAGACTTGCATTACCAGCACTGGGAGCATTGCTGTGCAGTTTGGTTAGGAGTTCTGAAATCTGATGAGCTGTCATGGCCACAGATTTGTCAAGAGCAGTGGTGATGCAAAGTTAGGATACTGGCCACAGAGCACATATGTTGCTGGCTCTGCCTGTTTCAATATAGCACCCGTGGTCAAAAGGTCAGGTGTTTTAGTGCAATGAGGAGGCCAGTACAGCATTGAGCTAAATAAAGCTATGAGATCAGCGAACACCGAAAAGTCATGCACATTAGGGGCTGTCTACTGCTCCCAGTGGAGCACCGTCGACATTATGAACAACCAAAACTTCACAGATTTCTATGAACTCTTTGCACACTGACTACTACAGTACCGAGAGGCTTTATGGATATAGACAGTAAACCGACCGACTCTTTTAAACACTCGGATAACCTTAACATGGTCACATCTTACACAATTTTAACAAAGCAATGAGATCACACACATATGCTGTAAATTCTCCCATGGCCTTTCCTTTGAAACTCCTACGACTCTTAGTTTCACATGTTGATACAACTTTCACAGCAGCAAGACATGAGTCCCATCTGCGAGCATGCAGAGGGAAAATGAAATCACAGTGAACGCTTGGAAGCGGTTTAGCCGAGTGTGAGTTGGCAAAATATCCCTTTGATCCCCAAAGCGGAAAAACTTCCAACTAACTGTCCATAAAAGTTCCTAAAAACCGCACACAAGCACTTCCAGTGGCAGTCATTGTATGCTATCGACCAGTTATTTTCTGTTTTTCAGTGGATATATAACCAGCAAGCCACCGCTAACACACTCGAACTGACATGCTAGTTGGCTAGCTTGGGAGCTAATAATACTGCAATAAACTGCAAACTAAGTCTGAGAGACGCATTAAACTAGCCGAATACAGAACGAATGCTTGAGTAAATATTAGAGGAATTCCCTGCTAAACACGTGAGTCCCTGAATCACTACAGGCACAGCGGGAAATGCGAAATATGTCAAATATCCCAAAACTTCCAGCACACTCGAAGCGAAGCAGCTGCTGCAGCATGAAAAGTTGCTACACACAACAAAGAACTATATGAGAGCACACTCACCTCACAACGGCTCTCCTGCCCCGCTCCTACAGGCACACGCTTTTTGGTGTGTGCCCCTTTTTTCTGTAGAAAAGTAGCCTCGTGATTCGGGAGTATTTCCAGGGCAAAACAGCTGCGTTTGACAGAAAAAGGCGGAATGCAAAGTATGAGTTTGGTATGAAATCAACGCGCGGAGGAAAACGCACGGAGGCAGAGGCGTGGCGTCGAAACGCACACACGCAAAAGTTTTGTGGGTCCCAAGGCAAACTCCTCCCCGGACATCAGACTCCTGGTGGGATAACTGGGAGATATGAGGAAGGTGGTAGCCGTAATGCCACTTTTTTGTCTAGGAAAAATCACTACATATCGCGTGCCATCGGGGTGGATGGTTAGGTCCCTGGATTATGCACCTCCTGTCTACACGGACCTCATACTTTGGTTACTGCAGGAGAAATACTACTGTTAATATATAAAGCTCCATTCAGGATTCATTCTGAATATGAGAACACGCATTATTTGCACGTTTGCTTTAACTTTTGAATATCATTAATTACAGTTCTGTCTGTCTATCAGTGTTCTGTAGTTGTGGTACTATATACCCAGCAGTGAAGCTTTAACAGGCCCTAAGCCAAAATGTTTCAGGGCCCTGAGAGTGGTAGGTGGGGAAAAAAATCATTTCTTTTGCTAACTTGTTATCAGAGATGGTGGTGGTGGTGCGGGGGGGG